CTGTTTGCTCAATCTCTCCCCCCCGCTATAACCTGAACCAATGAATTTTGGATTAGATAACTTATGCCATGAAATTTGACTGAGGGAGGGTGAGTCTACTGATTCTTCTGGACCTTTTACAGCTTCTGATGCCATTGACCATAATAACCTTTCTGGTGCAACTCTCTAGGATGAGACTTGGAGCCACAGTGTGATAATGGCTACGGTCCCTTTCTGGGGTTAAAAAGCCAGAATATGGTGCTGGGAGACTTTTGTTCCATCCCTTGGCCATTGATATTTAGGGTTAATTGGACATCTAGCCCTAAAGTTCTGTCTTTGTTCTCATGCTTTTCAACAGGTATATAAAACCACAGAGAGAAATCAACTGATGGTTTGAGCAGAGGTAGCATTAATATGTGGATGAAACACAGCTCTATCTTTCATTTCCACCATCTAATTCCAGGGACGTAACCCTGAATAGGTGATCTGGGAAGCTCCAGGGTTACATGAGATGTTTACAAGATTCACCATTACAGTACATAAACCTTTGCTATCACAAACTAATGAGTACTTCCAAGCAGTAAGGAACTAGAAAATGTTAAGGAGTAACAATTGGATAAAAATGGTAACAAAATGCAGAGGAGATGTAAAGAATCAGTAGAAGGGAGTGGAAGGAAGTCTTGAGGTTTAAAGAACCTCAAAAGAAAGTCTGTAAAATAGTAGGATTCCTTATTAGAAGTTCAAATGTTAGATTGTGGTTTGATTTTTGTATCTTTATTTTATTAATATCTGTGAAAATTAATAAAAAAGTATTTACAAAACACACACACTAATGAGTACTAACAATAGTGAAGAAAGTTAATTCCATGAGGCAATTGTAGAGAACTAAAATCATAAGAGCAACCTAGAAGATCCCATAATTAGTACTAATAAATAGCTATTGAAATAATTAATTAACAGTATGAACAATCATCACCAAGTTTATTTTTTATCACTTGCAGGTGTCCAATTCGCTAAGGAGTTACTTTTTAAAAAGCAGCTTTATATCTCAAATAAGAATCAAAATGAAGCCAACAATTTATAAATATGTATCAACTGGGGAATCTTACGTTAACAGAGATTCTTGGGAAGCAAAGTCACTGAGTCATATCTCCCTGGAAACATGAAACTAAGAACAATCCAGCACATTTTCATCTGATTATAAGATGATATTTAACACACAATTACCCTTCTTAAAAGAAAAAATATATCCAGATCTACCAAGAGCCATGGAACATCACATTCAGGTTCCTTTCAAATTGAATTAATTCAACTGATTTAAAAATGACAGACTGGACTATCGATATAGAAAATTAGCCAACAAACCCTGTGATAGAATCTCCCCCTACCTAAGATACAAAGGAGCATGGCATTTCCCCCTAGTTGACAGTAGCATGATATCAAAAGAAATCCAGCATACACACACATTTACAAAAACACTACAAAACTATATACCAAATTTCTGAAGAATTAAAAATAAAACTTCTGAAATGATGTTAATAGGGGGGGAACCCAAGGTATGAATCACCAGTTATATATTTGAAAAATTCAGTACATCCAAGTATATACTTGGAGTTAAGTGATAGATGCTTCTATAAACAGGGGCATGGTGCAATAGCTAAATAACACCCAAAAAGTACTTTGCTGACATACCAAAAGTAATCCCAACTTTCACTAGAAATAGTTTAGAGGTGGTGGTAAGAAAATAGTTGTTAGACAAGCGATCAACCTGCAGGATTTACATTTTTTAAAGCAACACTGGAGCTTTTTCTGCATCTCAGTGGGGTATCCTGAATGTCCTGTAAGCAGTGAATATTAAGCAGCAAGTCCCTTGGTGTAAAGCCTATACTATTGCTATGGAGAAATCTGTGCCCCTTTCTCTCATTGAAGAGACATACTATGGTTGTATAAATGAGGATGGATACAAAAGAAATTCAAGGGGGACACAATCCTCTCTCTCTCCCTCTTTCAGAGTTTGTAGGTTGTCTAAAACAATGGCTGTCTTCCAGTTTTACAATTTGTCCTTCTCTATGTACTGTACAAAAAAATGAAACCCTAGTTGAACATACAGAATAGTAAGAAGAGAATAAATAAAGATAAGATCCAACATGTTTCAAAATAAAAATAATAATTATACTTGATACAATCTAGTTAAGATATTAGTGGTATACATCAGCTACAAAGTAGGTTCATAAACCGCTTGAAAGTGGGGTTGTTGTTTTTAAGTAACTGTCTTGGTTTTAACAAAACATTTTAAATAAATGTTCTAGTATTTCACTATAATACATATAATATATAATATATATATATATAATATAATACAGCTGCTTAGGTAAACTGACCCAAAGTAAACCCAACTGCATATATAATGGATACCTCTATTGTAAGATGACTTGAAGGAGTTTACTCTCAAAGGCAGCATAAGAGACAAGATGCTTTAACAAAAATTTGAATACTATCTAAATGGCATTATACTGCATTATGCAAAAACTGGTTAAAACAAGAAGGCAAACTATAAACACAGCAAAACACAATTGGGTATAAGAACAGACATGTTCAGGCAAGCACAATTTGATGAGTAACTGAAAACTTAAGGCTGCTGGTTGCAGGCAACCAATATTTAACACACATACAAATGTATAAGTGCTCATGCACCGTGTACGCAACAAACAAATGATCAGGAAAAGTGATTCCTGGATATTCTTCAACTGCTTCCTTCCCCCAACAGGTGATCATTTACTATGCAGAGGAAAAAGACGGACTCCTCAAACAGCATAGTGTGTGCACAAGGCTCTTGCTGGTTGACCATCACTGTACTCGTTTCTTCAAAATACTTTAAAAATATAGTAAAGTTGGACCTGGTTAACCTCTGGACAGTTAGCCAGAAGGCCAACTTAGGAAATGGAGGTAGTGAAATATAAATGCAATGAAAACCTTTTGCAATAAATACTATTGTCAGAAACTTAAGATTCCACTTTCCCTTATGCCTCAAAGGCAGAACAAGGAGCTGTACTGTTGAACTGCACTGCTCAAAAATAAACTGCTATACTCCCAACTCTATATGAAACTGGAGACACCTATTGCACAACCAACAAGAAGCACCAAAAGAAAATCCTTTATGAAGCTTGTTTACAATTTAAATCCATAAAAGTGAACATGCACCGCATGCAATGTGCACAGCAGCGGAAAAGAGGAGGTTCCAGGTCAGTTTCATCATGAAAGGCAAAATTTAAAGAGGAAGGACCAATCTTCATTCATCCAGACAGACAAACTGGGAATCTAATGAAACCTGACACCTCTAAAGGAAAATCGTAACACTGCAAGGACTCACACTTAGCAGAATCACCAAAAACCCAAGAATCAGTAGTCAGATTTTTAAATCATCCTGGACAAAATGAATTCAGAAAAAAGTCTGGATTAGTAGCAGAAAAAAATGAACAGCAGCAGTCAAGGTTAGACAAGGAGAATTTCCTACTAAAAGCATTTTCTGTTCTATTCCCCCCCCCATTGCAGACAAGTGCACTCCTCAGCAATACACATAATCCATGATTATCCAATAGATATGCATACATTAATTTTAAAACCATACCATGTGGCAGAACTGTTACTAAAAATATAGCATTTAGAACATAAAATAAAATGTAGTTTTACTTCACTTATAATCCATTTTGTTGGCAACCAGACGCCTCAGGAGACAATGGAAAAGTGTGCCTATTTTTATTTTAAAAACAAACCTGTTCAAAGCTACCTGTTCTACAAGATCCAGTTTTAAAGCATTCCCTATTCACTTATCTGAACTACCGGGAAAGAAACTACCTTTCATTCTTCCACTCCCTTTCCCACACTATAAACATTCAGATTATCCCCAACGGCATTACCTTTGAATTAGCTAATAATTATCAGTGTCCAAACTGGTTCAGAAGAAAACAACTACAGCAAAGCTGACAACTAAAACTGCTGACTCTTTTGACCCATTCCCCCAACCACCCAAAAAAAGGATGGGGGAACACAGAGGAAGAAAACCTTTCCACAGCAACCGCCTGTCGGTTCTACCCACAGGAAAAATAATCAACTTGGTCAAGAGGTTTGGGGAGAAATACGAGTCCTCTTCTCCCTCCCTCCCGCACTCTCTCTCTCTCTCTCTCTTTTTTGGGAGGGGGGGGGAGGTGGAAAAGAGATGAATCCAATGAGTACCAGAAGGCGGGGCGGGGGGGGGGTAGAGAGAGAAGGAAAGCCAAGTGAATGCCGCTGCTTCTTTTTTCCTTGTTTAAACTGGGGGCAGGGTGAGCAAGTCGGCTCCGAATCTCGCTGGTCAGTTGCAGGCGAAGCTCGCAGACTTTCCGTGCAGCTCATTTCTCGGGGATATAGGAAATATTTGGGCAGGGGGCGCTGAAAAGAGAGTCTTTCGCTCTCCAATGAATCGAAGTGGGGGGGGGAGGAGAGGCTCCCGGTTTAATGAATTGGGGGACAGAGGGGGCGACCATCATGCAGCAGCAGGACTTTGCCAAGGTGCGGGGTGGGAATCAATAGCACAGAAAACTCAAGGTCTCGGGAGTCAAAGGGAAGGGGGAAGGGAAGGGGAAAGGCGCTTTAGGAGCAGGGGTTTTCGGAGAAGTGGGATTAGAGCGGGGAAAGAGGGGGGCGTGTTGCCTCCACCCGTTTCATTCAGGTTTTCAGCTCCCTCCCGCTGCGACTACCAGAGTCATTTTGGTGGGGGGGGGACTTGGGTTGGAGGACGGGGGGGGGTCCTGGTTTGTTTGTCGCTGTTGCCCCGTCAGTATGCGGAGGAGACTAGAAATATGTATGTGTGCATGCATATTTGTGTGTGCGCGCGCGTCTCGCCAGGTTCAGCCGCACTCGGGGGCAGCAGAGGAAGGTGGGGTGGGGGGAAAGAGGGGGGGTCTGAAGCCTTCCCCCCCCCCCGCTGCCCAGCCCAGCCTCGCTCAGCTACCTGCCTCCCTGCTTCCCTCCCCAGAACTCACCCAACAAAGTTGCTGCTGCTTCTGCGTGAGCCGCTGCTCGCTCCCTCTCCAGCGCCCGGGATGAGCTCACCCAGCAAGCTTGCCTCGCTCCGCCTGCTTAGCAGTCCAACTCTCGCGAGAAGCCGCGTGGCTGCGGCCATCGCCGCGCGCCGCGCCAAAGAGGGGGACCCGAGCAGCCGCGGCAGTTACTATGGCAACTGCCAAGCGCCGGGCCTAGCGGTGGACCGCGAAGCCTTGCGAGCCCAGGCAAAGAAAAAGGGAAAAGGGAGCTCGGCTCCGGAGGGTGTTGTCGCTGCGGTAGCCTGTCCTCCGCAGCGGCTCTGAAAGTCGAGGCACGCTCCGCGCCCTTGCAGTTGCAGCAGTGGCTCGACGGACGAAGCCGGGGGAAAGGCGCCCCCAGCAGCTTCTTCCCGGTTCGCGGCTATGCAGCCAACCTACTGATAATACCTAATGCGGCTGCTAAATTCTCGCCCGTAATTTTTCCGACATAAATCCAGCGTGCAGACTGTCCTTGGGAACTTATTGCAAAAAAAAAAAAAAGTGCAGAAGCCTTCCTGTGCAGCGACTTCCGTGCAAAGCAGTGGCTTTTTCCATCAAGCCATGCACGAACACACAGCGGGTGGGTACTTTAGCATCACACAGATTAGCGATCAGCAACCCAGTGCTATGCACCCTGCAAGTCTTGCTGCTATTTGTAGGGCTTGCTCCCAAATAACTGCGTAAAATTCAATTTGGTTGAATTCGGCAGCAGACACAGACATAAAGCTCCAATGTCACAGGAACAGATGCCACAGACCTAGTGAGACTTACTTCAAAGTAAATAAATGAAGATTTTATTATTTAAAAAAAATATGAGAATACATTCTTCCTCTCAAGAAGGGGACCTTGAGGTAGCACATAAGTTCCTTTTTATCTTCACAACAATCCTGTGATGTAGTTTAGGTTGAGAGTGAGTGACTGGCCCAGGCTGTGCAGCGAGCTTCATGGCAGAGGGGGATTTGTACCTGGGCCTCCTCTTACTTCACGATCCATGCATTTGGGGGGGGCATGAGAAGTAACCAGGGTGCCGTTTAAGTAGATGTGTTTGGATCCGTACAGTCACTAAAGACTTATTTTAAACTAAAATGCAACAAATGCTGCAGAGTGAGGGGAAACTTGTGGCTCACCACTATATTAAACTGTGGCACTCAAGCAACCACATCCTACACAGCAATCTGAATAGCACTGAATGCTTTCTGTGTGGGAAGCACCATATTTTCACAGGTAAAAAAATAGTTCACAATGACTTGGAAAACCATGATATCCCTGACAGAAAGGCAGTTTGAGGGATTATAGGCTGTTGGTGCATGCAAAGGGGGGGTGCACATTTATTGCACAAAAACAACAGCATGCACCTGTAAACTGAACAAATATATTTCTTTTTCTGTGCTTTTGCTGGTAAAAAAAAAGGTGTCCCTGAATCTGGTCATTTCATGTGATGTGAATGGTCTATGGTTCAATCCTAGCAATGTTCATTTGCAAGTAAATCTCATTAATTTCAATAGCACTTACTTCCAATGAAAGTTATAGTATAAGATGCTTAAGAAGGCCTTTAGGAGTTGAGTACACCTGGATATAAGATGCATGCCCCATCTCACTTTTTCCTTCTTGACCCTGTCTTGCCCATGTATTTCTGATATGCAGTGTTATGGTAAAATCTGGGTGGGAGGCTGCTCTGCCACCCAGCTCGTCGGACTAAGTCCAAGGGTCCCTGCGGAGGGAAATGAGCTCAGCCGGAGACAGGAGCAGAAGATCCAAGTTTATTGCGCAACAGGTTCAAGGCGAGATTGAACAGTGAGAAAGGGGTGACATGAACTTTTGAAACTTCCCTCCATGTCCCAGAATACAGTGCAAAATACATCACAGTTACATCATGAATACATTAAGGAGAGGTTGGGTTACACAGGTTACATCATGAATACATTAAGGAGAGGTTGGGTTACACCGGATTAACATATGGAGGAGGGAGGGGGGAATATGCAGAGCTGGAGATATGCGCAGATAAGCACATCCTGAGTACCGGTGATGAGAAGACAATGGTCCATGTATACATAGTCTGCCACCTGGCATTGCCCGGAGGAAAGGCTTGGCAGAGTGATTTGACAGGATTAGGGTCTTGACACATTGCTTGAGGGATTATGGAGGACAGGGGAGGTATCATGGAGTCCTAGAGAAATTGAGCAAATTGGCACGTTGATTTTCTATGAATTTTATAGATTTTACTCCCTTTTGACATTGACAATTGGAAATAAATGGATATATTGTAGCGAAGAAGAAGGTGAAGAAGACATGCCCCCCTTCCGTATCATGCAGGGTCTAGTCCACTCCTAGTGCCAGATATATGTGAAATAGTAGAATTTGTGGACACACTAGAAAAGCAGACAGCCTGCTCAAATGCAGTGTAAGCAATGCAACTGAACACCACATCAGACAGACAAGTTTACTGCAATGCAGACATGGCCTATTAAAGGAAGCACAAACTTAAGTTATTGTGTTCCACTTCATTAAGGTCAGTTCCCAAAGTAAGGCACACAGCTCTTGTTCTAGCAACTTACAAATAAAATAGCCTCAATAAAATGCTGACACATACCTGTTACCAGTGCTCTCCTAACATAGTGTTGCTTTGAAGATAAAGAAACATTGTACAGGGTTTTGTATATAGAGAAATGCTACACAAGTTATTTTTAATGTTGAAACAACCATGCACACACAAATGAAGGACAAAAATCCACAGACATGAGGAAATCTCTACACCTGACATTCTACAGAAAGGTTGTGTGTGGGCATAAAGAAGCATAAAGACAGGTTCAGGAAAAGGTGAGAAAAGCAGGTGAGAAAAGAGGCCAAGAATTGTCATGTATGAGGAGATTACTAGCAAAAGACGATACTGCACCAACCAAACTGTGGAATCTTCTATTACCTAAAAGGTACGGCAGGAGAACTTTCCAAAACAAGTGAAATCTGATAATTGCAGAATTTAGGAACTGCAGTATTTGTCCATTCCACTGACAGATCTTATCCTCCTATCACGTATGTTACCATTAGATATTCTGCTAATGCTTCCAGAAATCATTTGGGGGAGGGTTCCTTTATATAGGTCCCTTTGAGAAGTGAGTCCTCTGAGCATTCTCAGAAATAGTCAGTTCCCACTTCATAACTCCATCGGCTTGCAAAGCCCAGTTCATGTTGCATGAATACTAAGGGATTAAGAGAGTAGGGATTCACATGTTTTACAGCTAATAAAAGTGCTGTTCTTCCCTATTTCTGAGGATTCTACAGTTTCACTAGGTCTAAGGCACCTCACAATGATTCCAACTGAACACTCCCCTTCCTTTGCTATTTGCAAAATGAGAGAACTCCAGGGCTTCATTTTCTAAATAACAGAGGGGTGTGGTATGTGTCAAACATCCCCAGAAAGCATACCCTCCACCTCTTTTCTGTAATTCAGAATGTGTGAGACCTGGTTGTAGTTACTTATTAGCAAAAGGAATCCATTGTACACATACTCAGAGTCACTCTTTTATTATCACTTCTCCATTGAAAAACATAGCCAAGCACTGGTAAACTCATTATGTGGTCTCAGGAAAGTAAAGTTCACTCCTATTGTTGCTTGCTGTGATGGGAATCCAAGGTGACACATCAGAGGTGAAGAAATCCAGGGTAATGTTAGACTCAAGCAGCTCAGGACTGTATATTTCTTGCTGGAAATTTCCCCAGCCACGACCCATGTATTAATGGTGTTTAATTGGCCAGGTTAATTCCCTCTGCATAGCCACAAATATACTCTCATCACACTATATCCAAAATCCTGTTTTGCTTTGCTTTTATGCCCTTAATTAAAAAGTTAGAAAAACAATGAGGGTACCTTTGAAAACACATGCCATACATAAAAAGGTGCAGTGATGCCTACATGAATCCACATAACTCTTCTCTCCCAAACCTGCCATCTTCCCCATACTGTAATTAGAGAAATTGGAATTTTTCCAAGATACCATAGAATTCAGTATTTTTAACATAAAATCAATTATGTTTAAGGCAAACATGTACTTTCTATTTTTTGTTTCCCTCTCCATGCTGAGCTCTGCCCACAGCATATTGGCTTCTTGTTTTCCAGCCTTCCCTTAAGGCTTAACAAGCCAGTGAATTATAGTGTTTGCTTCTTGCAAGAGCATAGTCACAAATATTCTTTCTTTCTCCTCTCTCCTATCAACATGCTATTTACTTTTGAATTTTAATCTCCGGTGGACTCATACAAAATATAAATCAGACTGGATGCCAGCTTGTGATATACATATGGAAGGAAGTACTGAGTCATTTGAAAACCAAACAAAGGAAGTGATTGAAAGTTTCCAGCAAGGCCTTATAGATTTTCAGACTTTTATTTAAACTGCAATATTGAAAAGATTAAAACTTATCAAGCATCATGGTTTGAGTCACTGCAAATAGGAAAAGCTGCCAAGTCTCATTAATTGGAAACATTGATTGCACTTTGTGTTGCAGTTATTAATATGTTGGCATCAGTGGGTGTCATTCACTTCAAAGCAAATTGCCTCTCAAGTGACAAGCACAAACCACTTAAACCACTGTACTTGCGTTTAAACCAACTAATCTTAGTATCTCCACCAAAGCACCTTAAATTGGTTCATTTGCACACAGACAAGTGCATGAAGTAGTTGCTGTCATAAGCACTTTGCCTCCTCCCAATGTTTTCTTGAGGGGGCTGGGCCCCACCATTGTTCAGAGGGTGGAGGAGGGCAAATGTGGAGCCAGGCATGGTGTGGCTTCAGTGGCCAGTGGTTCCTCCTGCCACTGCCACCGCCACTGGCCAGGGGCAGTTTTCCCTTGTGCGGCACGGGGAGGGGGAAGACGGGGGCCGCTGACCACTGGGACCACATTCAGCTCCACCCCCTGGCTCCTCACAACGTTGAGCATGTGACATCAGGCCATCGTGTCAGGCGCCCACAATCTTTTTTAGAAGTTGGCACCTCTGGCTGATGTAGAATCTTGCCCCATATACTGAGTTTGTTGGCTTCAGCAATGCTTTTGAAGCATCCACTTGAGATGATCAAAGCAGC